TTAGAATAAGTCAAGCTTTACAGTGTAAGAAAGAAGTTGTCCTGATTTCTCAGTTCTTTTCCCCATTGTGCCATTGAGGATTTATTTTGATTGGATACATTTGTTGCAGGTATCCAGAATTAACAAATCAAGTGGGGAAAAGCGTGTACATTGAGTTTCTCTTAGTACTTCTACATCTATCGGAGTGATTTCATAAGCTGTAAGCCATCGTCCAATTTTGAAAGTTCCCCTGGTTCGTGAAGATGGAATAGAAAGTCTACACATTTCCTTCTGATTCTACAACACCTAGCAGAAAAGGATTGATTTAGGTGAAGTTCACTACATACTACATACATTTTAGGGTAACTACATATATTTTAGTTACCCTAATATTTTTCCTTGGTGCAGCTACGGTTCTTGAATTTCTGCCAATCTTCTGATCAAATCACAGAATAAGAAATGGCAGACGGCAGCCGAAGCTGCCCATTTGTGCAGTAAATCGATTTAAAGGGCTCTTGAGTAACGTGTTTTAGAACTACCAGAGTTTTAGTGACAGTTTTCCTGATTTCAAGCAGAATTCATTCAGGAATCAGTAAAATCTACATCATTTTAGACCTGGGTTGGCTGGTAGCAACTTAAACTCATTGGCTTGGATTTTTTGATGTCTGCGACTTTCTGAAGTTTTCACTTCTGGTGTTTTGAGGATCCCTGGAAAACACTTTCGTGATAAATCTTTTCACTAGTGAGTTTAAGATTTTTTCCTTCTCAAGCAAGCGACGTTTAGGGATCAAATTCTTTAACCATAGTTGGGTGAAATCGTTAAGACCCGTAGGATCAGCACAAATTGCATATATCTCTCCTTCATTGGTTGGGAGACTTGATTGTTTGTACTTATTCGGAGATTATGAACTCTTAATACTTACTTAACTATCAACTTATTGGATCAACTTTTTTATGTAGAATACTTTTCTAACACCTCTCATTACGCCCCCTTCGTTTACTTCTTCGGAAAGTATTATAAAACGAACTCAATAAAACGTTTATGACAAGATCTTGAACCATGGACAACCTATTATTAAGCTCACTTGAAAAATAATTTATGTAAATAATCTATTGAGAGATTATTTGGGCTTCCTCCCCCACCCCACACAGATGAATTTGGGTGCTGATTTAGCCTACTATCGTCTATATGGCTCACCAATAATTTAGGATGACTATTTTCCGTGACAACAAGCATAGGCGCATAGGAGGACATAGGAGGAACTATATGAACAATTTGTAGTTGTAGGGTGTATAACTAAGCAATAATTCCGGTAGTTGTATGATACCTCCAGTATACAGGGTATCCCGTAAATAGGGGAGCGAGCTGGTGTAGTGGTTAGAGCGCGAGACTTCGGTCCCTGAGATTCCGGGTTCAAATCCAACCAAATCACCAATGGATTTTATCTAATTGATAATATCACAACCCCTAGGTCTACCCTGAAGTGATGTGAAAAACAATCCCAAAAACAATTTGAAACTTTTTTTACAATATATTTAAAGAACCATTAATTATTTCTGTATTCTCGCCCCGTTAAGAATCACGGACAAAAACTAGTATCTCTAAATCTATTAAAGATATTTTTACGAAATTCTAATTCAATAAAAATTTATGATACACCCCGAATTTTGAATAAGGTGTAACCAGACAAGTTAAGCCAATTTGCCCCATTTTACAACTAAACATCGTTATTCTTCAGCTATTTGTAATTTGATATCTTTGAATTTGGTGTTGTTTGTTGGAACATTTTAATCGCTAAATAACATATAACCAGAACAAAAGCTACCACAAGTTTGAGTTTTTCATTAACAGAGATTCAACATCGTTCTTTTAACATCGCTTAGAGCCAGAGCCCTATACTGTAACAGTACTTGAGCGTATGGTGAGTGAGATATGACAGTACGGAACAGTATCGTCGTGTACCTAAATTGCGTCAGAGCGCCGTCGTATTAGGCCGTCCGCCCGCTGCACCCGTCTCTTCTGTCGCGCAAAACGTTTATATACTCGAGTTTGGAGCTCTACAGAAAAGTAACCAAACTACTTAGAAAAACACAGAGTATATCTAAATTTCTGTTATTTTATTCTACATATTCCTGTGAAAAAGATTTTTTTAAATGACAATCGGAAGGTAAAAAACCCGTTTTAAGTGTATTAAAACCGTCTTATGACTTTGAAAATTCATACAATATAAACTGAACGTCAGAACTTCATCAAACTTTAATACAATATAGATACACATAATGAGTTAATTTGTTTGGTTGTTTGGTTTCAGAAATTTAACTTTTCCCAAAAAGTTGTTGTTGTTAATTTTGTAATTTAACCGTTTTCTTCAAAAACGGCAAACGCTAGAAAAAAATTATAAGCTTGTTTTGAAGGTGATTGTTTTGGTATTTGGAATATTCATAAGGCTCTACCGTTATTATTCAAAATTCTAAAACCATACAAATTAACTCATTATACTCTATTAGACTATTAAACCAATTGTCTTTCATGCTGTAGGTCTAGTCATGTTTTGAGGTGTCTTTAAGGTATTTACATTATACATGTTGACGAAATCTATTGTAACTCATGTTATTTAATGTATCTTTTTTGTATTAAAGTTTGATGAAGTTCTGACGTTCAGTTTATATTGTGCGAATTTTCAAAGTTATAAGGGGGTGTTTGAACTCTAAAACAGGGTTTTTTTTACTTCCCGACTTTCATAAAAAATTTTAAACAAGCTAAAAAAATTGTTTTCACTGGAATGCGTAGAATAAAACAACGGAAATTTAGATATACTATGTGTTTTTCTAAGTAGTTTGGTTACTTTTCTGTAGAGCTCCAAACTCGAGTGTGTAAACTATTTTCCTCGACAGATTCTTCTAGTTATGTTTGAAAGGGGCTTGAGACGAATAAATTATTTAAGTAAACTAGTCATATGGTAGAATTAAAAAAAAAAACTAAACATGCTTTTTACTTTATTCATAAGCAGGTATTTTATCTATCAAATCACAAAGTAGTACATCGACATTATGTCAATGACAAAAAGTGAGATTTCATTCAAAACAAAAGACTTCAAAATAGTATGGACTGTTGGACTCATTAATTATACAATTTTACCTATAAGAGTAACGTGTGCCATTAGGTTTTATTCAAAATTAAAATTACAACTGCAAACTATCTTCAAGGCGTTTACATCTTCTATACTAGTCTTGTTTCAAGAACACCAATTTTATCATCAAATAGGATTTTATTGCATCAATTTTGGCCTGCTATCAGTGTTATAAGTGACAAGTTATGAATTTCGAACTAAATTTCCAAAGTAAATAAACAAGTAAATTGTTGTAGGTTGCTTGTGTACTGTATATGTTTCGGTTAGATTTGGTAAATGTTTTCATTTCATACTATACTATTAAAATTTTACAAAAACCTTTTCCTTCCCGGTAGCAGCAAACCAAGATATTCGTTGAATCCATCATTAATCAATAATTAAATACATCTGACACGTTTAGTAATATTTTAGGAAAGTAATATAACAAAAAATGGAAATTCGCTTGGTCTGCATTTTCCTGCGTTGGGTGAGTTAATTACAGCAAAATCATACGTTATTAGTTTTATCCGTAGTTTATGTATAAAACTTAACATGTTTAATCTTTTAGTTTCTTTTATATATTTTGTTAGAATCCAGGACAGTTCAATATTACGAGAAACTTTTAGGAAGAACGAGAAACCTAAACAGCTGTGGTATGGCAGATTTACTGAAAGATTACAGCTGACGCTTACACATCACCTAGGGAAATCGTGTGGTTTAACAACTTTTTGCTACAAACTTGAACAAATTTAAGTTCAAAAATTGAACATCTGAACAAATTGTAATCCAGTTAAATATTATATTGCACTTTTAACTGCGCTATCAAATTCTTTCCTGTAAAATTCGTTTTGGATTGAATAACTTACAAATTAGTTAACCGAGATACCCTGAAAAATACATCAACCACGTTCACCAGATGCATTTGGTTAGTTTGATTTAAAGATATCAATTTTCGGATGATCTAGAAAAAAATTATAATGCAACAAATTGTAAAGCTGATTGTACGGTAACTCAATATTAAAAATGAAACAGGATTAGTAAATGCTATACTCCAGCTAAATTAGGTTAATTTGATGCATTATACTATTATATTATTGCTGATGTCTCAATTCAATTTAATATTGTGTTTTATAATTTAATTAGCTAATCTTCTTTTCTTTTTGTACCGTTGTATGTAAAACATTATTAATTTCATATTGTGTTGCTTGCAAGATGAGGATAAGACGTTATGACATGTGTCCAACAATGTATGTTTTATATGAATGCAGTGTAATTAGACGTTAGTCTGTATTGTAACATTTAAATCAATCTATATAAATAAAATTAAAGTTTTGTCAGTACGGCGTAGAATGGTGAAGTGTTTGGTTGTTTTGAAGTTTCACAGCCTAAGAAGCCGAAACGAGTCTTATCTAAATTTCTCTCTGTCTGTCTGTTTGCCAATGTTGTAAACGAAGAAGTTCTTCCTTAGGTTTAACTTCAATAGTCTCGTTTGTTGATTAACTTTAATGATTTGATATTATACGAAACATTAATGAAAAAGGCAATTTTAGTCTTCAGTGGGGTCAGTAGAAAAACACAAAATTATGTCGGACGAAGCCGACGTGTAACGGCTGGTAAATAAATAAAATAGCCTACAACACAAACATTTTAGGATTCAAAAAATTAAAATCCTAAAATTTCAATCCTAAATCAATCCAAACAATTCGCACTACAAAATTTTTCGTGGCTGGATAAGTTGCACATTGTTCACAGATTTTAATCGCACCCCCTTGTCAATAATGTCTTTGTTATCAATAACTGTTTGATCTATAAAAAATATATTAATAGATTTGTTAGGCATGGAAGTTTAATTTTAACCTGTGTCGGGTGGGGAGGAGTGGCCTACTCGCGCTCCTTGCAGCTAGTCCCTCAGTAACAACGCCGCGAGTGTACTGTTCGCGAGAGTGGATGTGTGTTTTCATCATGGCATTCTCGTTATTCTAGATTCATTGGATACATCTGAGGTCTGTTACACCACTGGGTACCAGGTAGCTTTAGAATTACTTAGAAATAGTTTCAAATTCTAGAAAAGTAATTTTTAACCTTGGTGTAACCGATGTGTTGAAATTTTATTTTTTTACTGTTGTAGCTTCAATGTATATATAATAGGGGTTGATTGTACATAAGCAATAGACAGTGATGTAAAAACTCACAATTTGAAATAAATTACAGAATATTTTGTGGCAATGGAGAAGATTGCAGATAACAAATTTCATTAAATTTCTGCGGGATAAAATTTATATTTTTTGTTTACTCTAGGTTTTAAATTTTTATTTGTACAAAATATAGGCTTCGAAATAACCTATAGATTAATTTAATTTAGGTTTTGTAGTTTAGAAATTTACAACTCACAATATTTTTAAACTTAACCTTCATTTTCAAATTATTTACTCTGGGACTTGACCAATTTTACAAGTATATGTTTCTGAAATTATTTTAGTATTTAGAAGAGATTTATCATATTAAATTAATTTATATGATAACCGTTCGGGAATATAATATCTTATATGAAGAACATTACCACCGATTTTTAAATATATTGATACTACCCGATAATTTTGCAACTTAAATAATTTTCAGTGGATCACACAGGTGCGATAAGTAGATTTACAAGTGTTAACTAGTTATTTGTCTCTCCGTCTGTACGCGTGGACGTTGCAATGTGTTAAAGTTTGTAATGGAAGCTCGGAGGTCCTAAGCGCAGAGGATGAGTTGATTTCATTTTTAGCTCCCAAAGTGTTGGGTTACTACTATCTGCCCCATCCCCACTTCTCAGCCTTATTTAGAGAAACTTTATATTGCTCTATGCTCTACTAAAAACCTGTCCCAATTTCATATTTTCATCCTTCTTTTCTGCACGAATCAACTTGTGATATAATCAGTAGAGTAATAAGGCTTTGAATATCTTCATTCGGTTTAAATGTGTTTGAATACTTGTGGATGTTTGTAGATTGTCATGTAACCTCCTGTAGTTATTTAGAATATTGAGGTTACATTTATTCATAAATTATTGTGTCTCCGCTTTTATTTGCAATTGCATAACACCGAGTGTTATAATATTATAATTTGTTTAAAAAAAACTAGTATACGACGTTTTAATCAATTAAAGCGTTATTTTGTTTCACCATTGAAAGTAAAGTTTGTTTAGTTCTTTCTTAACACCTCGATACCAAGAAGATAACACTAATATAGGCTTATAAAACTCCAAAATATACACAATGTATTTTAGTTTGTTGTTGGCCTGATGTTATGTTTATTTTTTGTTATTTGTGTATTAATGTACCATAAAAGTATTAAAAAACTAGAATTTAGTGACAGATAGTGACAATAGTTATAACACAGTCAGTTAATGTATTTAAAGAAATACAAATTAAAGTAACCAATAATGTTGATATGATGTAGCCTATATTTTATATTATAGTGAAGGTTCCTCACGATTTTTTACACAGCTGTTTTTTTTGCGAAATATTGTCTAAAACATATCAAATACATAATTGATTCTATTCCTACAATAATAAGAATTGCCTAAAGCATATTTCTTAAATTTAAAGTATTTAACAAACGACTAAATACTTAAAAGTGTTCCTCTTGCTGTGTATTCCATGCAAATACAATGTTGCATAGCTATGGAACAACAACAATGGTAGATCTCTTCTATATTACTTGACTTACATTACTTAAGGCAAGAAAATACTTAACCGTATTTAATATGATTATACTTTCGACAAACTATCCAATATTTTTGCTAGGTACACAGTAATATTGCATTTACTGAGTCGGAATAAGTTAGAGACACTATCAAAACTCCATAATGTACTAAATTGTAATTCTTTGACTTGATGCTGAGCATTATTCTTTTACGATTTATGTAATGATATACAATAAAAGTATTATTAATTGAAATAAGAAATTAATATTAACGGACATAAAATAGTAACAATAATTAATTATAATCCTGGTGAGTTAAACATATTTTAATAAATAAAATTTATAGATTTACATCGTTATAGAACTTACTGCAATTTTGTTTTTAATTATGTGTTGAGTACGTATCTTTTAATTTATTAATATAGTAAATTATAAAATTTAATGTGTAGCCTATGCATCATAAGAATAAATATACAAAAAAAATTCTAAAATCGTTATGATTTAGTTATACACATTAGTAACATTTAAATTTACTACACTGTATAACTTTTATTATTGAAGGATACATTTAACTATTAGATAATCTAACAAGTGGGTTCCACAGAAAAGTTATTATTTTTTGAGACTGGGATGGTTAGGCTTTATGGTAATGGAAAAAATGTAATTAATTATTTTTTAATTAATTAATTAATTTTTTTTGTAAATTTAGAAAGTACCCATATTTTTAAATAAAAAAATTAAATATATATTTTTTTAAATATATTTTTTAATTTTATATTTACTCTTTCAAGTAAATATAAAAATTTGGGAAAATTTGGATGGCATATATTTAATAAACGCTCCTCCTCATTTTACCTTTTGAGAAATTAACTCTAATATCCTTTTACTTTATCTAATACGGTAAATGATGTTAACGAGTATACAACATTGTACATAATATATATTGTGTATTGCATAATTTATTGTCCTATTTTAACTACGAAATAGAGAAATAGTTAGCAAAACATAATACAAGGGTTAGTCTTTTTGAATACAACGGGACTAAAATGAATAACGAACCAGTTTTTAATTATTAGCTGATTCTTAAAAATATATTGTTCACAATTCAAATCAACTTTTCAAATTTTTGTTTTTTCCTCATTTCAAACCCAAGTACCCATTGTGTACATTAGAAAACCTTAGGGTATATTTCCTTTGGGGAGTCACTTGGATAGAGCGATGGGACAGGGGCAATTATACAATATAAACATTCATTACTGTAAAAAAAATAGTTTTAATAATCCGTATAAAAACTGAAGATACTTATGATTGACGTGATTTTTATCAGTAAAAATTCAGTGATTTAGTTCAAATGCTAGTCAAGTCATAAGATATTCTATATTGCAATCTTTAAAAACGTACATTGGACAACTTAAACACATAGACACATGTAGCATACCGTAAAATAAATAAAACCCGAAACTTAAGTTTTGTTCTAACAGCTGATCAATACAAAAAAAATCTGTTGTCAATAAAATGATTTTATTTAACCCTAGTTAATAAATTGTATGTCAGCATATCTGTAAAAAATGTGTAAAATCGAGCATAAGAGAGGACGCATAATTTTTTCAGTAGAATTGGATTTAAGCTTAGCATCATAGAAAAGATCCCATAACTATGTACGAGTAAAAGATTTGCAAATGGTATCAGCAATCTGACACATACTTTCTCTCGTTTGCTTGTCAACAGCCCTTATCACAAGCTGTGGGAGTAACTATGATATTTGTTGAGGGTAGTCAAACTTTTGTAAATTTTTACACCATTGAGGTTTCGGTTATTCTATTTATAGTTAAAAGGGCCATAACATACTACATTTTGATGGAAATCCTTCTAGCCGTTTTTGTGAAAATTATATGTATAGAAGGAGAAAGTAAAATCTATAGAATCCATAGGAGAGGACGCATAATTTTGAAATTAGGTTCGGATTTGAGCATAGGCTACATAGGTCCTAGCCTCCTAGAAAAGATCATGTAAAAAAACATATGAGTAAAAATTAGTTACCCAAGATGATGCAACAATTAGTTTTACTTGATGATAACATTAGTGACAAACTTAGGTATTGATACATCGAAGACTATATACATCGATGTATCGATATAAGAAGAAGATAAACTACATCCAATTATGTTGATAAAGATATTCTTAAATTAATTTCACTAAGCATCCTTATACATGACTTAAATAGCAAACTGTAACATTATTAATTAAAAACACTAATGGTTTTACTTATACAGTTAGTTTCATTGAATTGTTGATGTAATATGGACACAATATACACATTTGACCAAGATTATTGCTTCAATCGAAGTTGTGTTCGTTTAACGAATATATTTTTAAAATTATCAATTGAACCAATAAATCACTAACTATTCAAATCAAACGAAGTTATAATTACTATTTCATGCACAAACGATTTACTGAGTTCTATACATAGCATTAATCGAATGAAAACATCCATTTTGAACACTGGTTCCGTATCAATAACACACCGAAGTTTTTTTTTTAAATAAAAAATAGAATTTTTTAAATAAAAAAGGGCCAGAATGTTTTTCAAGAGCACCTGTTTGTACATCAAATAATCTAATTAAATTTAGTAAAATAGATTTTCTTACTTGGCTACTTTTTCTATGCAATAAGCCTACTTAAAGTATAACCTAACCTAAACTAAACAAGAACAGTTTATTCAATCGTGTCCGGTTAAAGACAAACCGATGCATTTTAGTGAGTTTTAATTTTAGTGAGATACTCATTATTTTTATCGTCTGTTAATTTTTTATTTTGAAGACCTATTTTGTTTTTAGATTTAAATAAATCTTCATAAACAAGCTTTCTTGGTCACGTTTTGAAGAATAGTCTTCAGGCAACAACCGTGTCACAACTTAGGCATTATCTGGCCTTTCAGCTTGATGCAGGGTGCCAACCTCAGGGCGACGAAGTCTTGTAACTTCACAGTGCGGGAGTCAGGTCGCCCTGAAGATGGCATGCTGTATCGAGGCCGAAACGTCAAACTTTTGTGTCACGGTAGTTTTTTATTGCTAAAACATTTTTGTATGATCCCTAATATTTTTTTACATGGTGAAGATACGCCCTAATCTGCTCTCTTTTGAGAGATATCAATCGAATCCTCAATAAATTCTATGTGAATCAATAAATGTCAATAGCTAGTTCCAAGTGAGCAAAGATATGAATAGGAACCATTCAAAACTTTGTATGTACAACAATGCTACGGAACAATTTGCTGAACTGTTCGCAAAGAAACGGCTTAGGATTGAGATAG